AAAAGATACATATTTTGATCAATAAAGAATAATTTTCTTAAAGCAAAAGCATTTTCATCTTTGAGTAATGAAATCAACATTGATTATTGATTCAACTTTTCTTAAATAAATTCAATTAAATATATCCTTTAATTTTTTTCTTTATAATATTAAAAATAATTCTTTTAAATTTTATGATACTTCTGAATTTAAATTTAAAAATATTTTTTCTATTTTTAAGGACACTTGTATATTTCAAAAGGTAAAGCACAATTATATGTTCTTTAACCTCATTATAATTTTACAATAGTATGACATTTTGGATAAATTAAGACATTGAAGCTAGTATCTAAAGATTTTTGATAGTTTAAAATATAGAAGGTAGTTAAAGACTTTGTATAATCATGTATCATTTTTTTAAGATTAAAAACTTTTCATCATTGATCTTATAGATTATTTTAGCTATTACTTATTCTCAAACAATTGTGATTTGCTATATCTATGGATTTTATGAAAAATCTTTTAATCTCAAGTTTTTATAATTCTATCTTTGTGATAGTAGATTATTTTACAAAGATGATATATTTTATATTATGTACAAAATCTATCACAAGTAAAAAATAGCTAAGCTTTTTTTTGACAATATCTATTACTATTATGGATTGCCCAAGAATATTATATCGGATGGAGGTACCCAATTTATATCAATATTTTGAAGAATTTTTTTTAAGATTTTAAAGATAGATATTAAATTATTTTTGGCTTTCATCTTCAAATTGATGGACAAATAGAGCATGCAAAATCAAGTTTTGAAGCAATATTCGAAGTGTACCATTAATTATTTATATGATGATTATACAATTTTTTTTTTATCATTGATAGAATTTTTTTTATAATAATACAATACATTCTTTTATGCAACAAATACCTTTCTTTGCTAATTATGATTATCATCTATAATTTAATGCTTTTGACTTTTCAAATGTTGATAATCTTATAGCAAAAGATTTGGCAAATCATTTATTTGAGTTATATATAATAATAAAGGTGTAATTAAAAGAAACTCAAGAATAACAAAAGACTAATATCAATGCCTATTGCAAAAAAAAACTCCAATTCCACATTGACAATAAGGTATAATTATTTTGTTGCAATATCAAGACTAGGTACACTTGTAATAAATTGGATTACTGTAGGTTTGGTCTATTTCTTATTTGTGAACAAATCAATCTAGCTACTTATTGATTACATCTAACAAAGTCTATGGAGATCCATTTCATGTTTCATATATCTCTTCTTAAGACTTATAAGATAGTGAATATTTCAGAAAAAAAGACAAATACCACCACCTCCTATAGAAGTAGATAATAATCATGAGTTTGAAACAAAAGAAGTTTTAGACTAAAGGCAATACAGAAATAGATTGGAATATGTTGTTTATTAGTGCAGATATGATATTAGTGAATGTACATAAGAGCCAATCAAAAATATTAGAAATGTAACAAAAAAGGTTGATGTTTTTATTGTTAACATCCATCAAAATCAAAATAAAAAATAATAATTTTTTATTATAAAAGAAACATGATTCAAGGAAGATTGATTTTTTTTTTTTTTTTTTTTTTTAATCATTGTTTTCAATTTTTGTATGTTTTTAGCACTAAAGAGATAGAGAATTAATAGTCAAGAGATTCAATTCAAGAATTATCATTTATTAATTTATTTGACCAAATATTGTGATTGTTATAGCCTTCAAAATGACGTAATAGACGTAATGACCTTCAAAAACAACATGTTCTTTCTTGAAGAGATAGAAAAATACAACCTATTTGGTATCATGACCTTTGAAGAGACTTCTAAGATTTGGTGATTTTATTGAAGGTAGAAATAGCTCTTGATGGTGTTGAGAATGTTTTATTTGAAAGAATATAAAAAGGCCTCAACAATGATCAAATCACAAGGTAGTCTTTTTATTTTAGAATAAAACATTATTGATAGGTAAGAGGACTTATCAACTACTTTAAAAAGAAAAAAAATTAGAATATATGGCAAATACAATTTGCCACATTTTAGACTTTATCAACATGTAATTACCACTCCTTGTAGATTTTATCTTTAAAAGAGGAAATAATGTTACAAACATATAAATTTATTTAATAATTACTTAAATAATAGAAATAAATAGACTTAAATAGAAATAATTAATTTAATATTATCTTATAAAAAAGCTTCTTGGAAGCTTTACAGATGTGGTTTCACTTTAATGTATGTCTATAGGTGGTTGATAAATTCAATACTTTGCTATTAAGTTAGCTACTTGTTGTACATGTTGGTAGTTTGTATTACAAGCTAATCATGTGGCACACATATAAGAAACATACCTTATATATTTGATGGATATCAAAGGTCTTATAAAACACTATCATGTAGCTCCTAGTTAAATAATATATAAGAAGACAAGAATGAATCCTTTTTTACTCTTGTTAATACCTTTTTAGTCTTAAGTTTTGTTTTAAGACTTTCTAATCTTCTTGTCTCTAATAATAGCTATTTTAATTTAATATTATACCATCTTTAAGTAATTTTTTAGTCTTTTAAAGTAACACAAGAGTATATTGATCTTTTAGTCCTTTGAGATTCATGTCCTTGATACCTTCATCCCATCTCTTCTATCCAAGAATTTTACATCTATAATTATTGACTTCACTTATTATTGTCTCTAATTGGATTTCTTATACTATCAAAAAAATATTCAAAGATATTAAATAAATTATATCTACTACGTTTTAATTATTTTAATTTCTACAATAACACTACTTATCTACTCATTTAAAATTTTCTATACTAACTACACCTCACAATTGTAGTTTTTGGTATTCTAAATATATCTTTTTATTTAAAAATTATAGGTAAGAAATTTAAATGATTCACATTTCATATAGAACTAAATATATATTGATAATGGTAGAAAATTTTAGCAAAGTGGATTCAACTTATGGCTTTGCTTCAAAATTCTTTAGAGTTGGTAGTTCTGGCTTTTCATGATTGTGTATTGGTATATTTTGAAGTAGTTATTGAAGTCCTGATGGATCAAAAAAAGAAGTTCTTTAGAACTTTTGAAGCTTTGTATACTAAAGCTTTGATAGATTATTTTACTACCTCTAAGAATCATCTTAAGGTAGATGGCTTGACTTAATAAGTTGTTTGAATTGTTAAGCATGGTTTACAAAAGTATAGATTGCTTTATAGCAATCATTGTGATTGAAACTTGATGTTATGGATTACAATGAATTACCACTTTGATAGATAGGCAACTTTGGCATCTTGTAGTCCTTATCAATTGTTGTATAGACATGTATCATTTCTACCAAGTTTAATATATGAGAAGCTAGTCCCAATTATAAACTTAAATGATATTGAGATTTAGGCTCAATGTCTATATAATCAAATAGAGTTCTTTAAAAAAGCTATGTACATAGAATTAGAGAAATTATCTATTGCTCAATATTGTAATATTCTAAAATATGATTGCATCCATAGTGAAGCTTATTGACCTTAGTTGCAAACATTATCTAAGAGAGATTATGTATATTTGTAATGAGAAGTATCTACGATATTTGTTGTCAAGGTAGAATATATAATTCTTTATATTAAAGATGTATTGCATTGTAGTATTGATTTTTCCTTTAAGGCAAGGGTGGCCATAAATATTAATAATATTCAAAGAATTGTGATCTTTCTAATCTTCCTATTGATGATTTTGGACATCTTCAAGTGACGCTTATGTTAAATGACATCCTTTGTTTTATGTGGTGAAAAATAAAGAACTACTATTATACTATTATGTAACTAGAAAGCATATTGCATACTTACTACCACTTCTTTTGAGTCTTCTTTCAAGTGATGGATTTTTTCATCATTCTAGGAAGTCTTTGAATCATATATTATCTATTGACAAAGATAAATAACTTCTTCTTTCAAATTTGTGACATGTTTTAGTAGTCTAGTTACTACAACATCAACTTGGTTATATATTGTTTTTGTAACAACATCACTGTAGTACAAATCTCCAACTATGTGTGTATTATCATTCTAGTAGATTGGTTGGACTCTTAATCAATTTGACAAGAGAAGAAGGAGGTACTCGGAGTTGTCTTGGCTATGCATTCTTATTTAATTTTTATAATATACTTGATGATAATTTCTAACACTCAATATGTTATATATGACAATCTTTATTTACACAACATCGATCATTTAAATAATAATAATATTAATAAATTGATTAATATTTAATAAAAACATTTTTTTATTATAAATATTTTTTATTTTAAATTTTTTATTTACATGATGATTTTTATATTAAAAAACATTAAATATAAATTAATATTAAAAAATAAATAATCATTAAATACACTTTAATACACTTAATAAAAAAATTGTGAAAAAAAGAAAATGTTAAAAAAATAGAATTATAGATTAATGTATGATGTTAAATATATAGATATAGATAACAATAAATCGGCCTAAAATAATGGCTAAAAATAATAGTATTCTATTAGAACTAAATAGCATTGTATAAAGAATAATAAATACATATTAGATAAAATTTAATAAGAACACTATTAAATTTGAAATTAAGATTTTTTTAAGTCAACACTAAATTTTATGAAAAAATTCATAGCAACAACAAATATAACTATGAGAAGTATGATTTTAAAACACATATCATTAATCAAACATTCATGGCTAAATTGAACCCACTTTAACTTGAATCCTCGTTTCCTTAAAGTTTGATATTGCCAGGGTCAATCCGCCAACCACCGGATGGCAAATACGGCTTTCGAGACACGTGTCAATCATCGGCAGGTCGCAAACCCAGCACCACCAGGGGTGGTGAAATTCACCTCACGAAGGAAAAAGCCAGGGCGCCCGTGACCGCGCGGGAATGGGTGCCCGCAGGGGCCTATCCGAAGAGAGGCGAAGGGGGAGGGCAGGGGAGGGAATGACAAAGGAATAGCATCGAGTGGCGCTCATTGCTGCGATTGATTGTGAGTGAGGGAGTGTTTGCGAGTGAGTGAGTCTTGTGCTCCGCTCCACGCTTGCTTACTTGCTTGAAGCCACCATCGCTGTAGCTTCTTCTTCTTCTTCTTCTTCTTCTTCAACTTCACATTTATTTACTTATTTAGTTATTGTAGCCATGGCTGCGAGCCTTGTGTCGTCCGTGGTGGCTGCGGGAAGCGTCACCAGCTCCTCCGCCCCTGTTGTTGCTGCTGCCAGGAGTAGCGCTTCCTGCACTGCGCTGTTGTCCCCCTATGGCGCTTCTTTCAAGACTGGCGTCGCAGTTCCGGCGGTCGCTCGCAGCGCTGGTTACCGAACGGGTACGGTTTCGCCACCTGTGCTAGTAGGCGAATTCCGTGCGTTGTATGTGTCGCGCGGTGTCATTAGGCGTCGAGTTGTTTTTGCATTGAGCATTTTGAAAGTTGCTTTTGAAAGAGCTGAAGAATTGAGTGCGTGAGAGAGTATTCTTCGCGGCGCCTCAACTACCTCGCGTTGGGGTCTGACGCGGCCAAAGTATTCAGGATTCTGATGTTCGTGGTCTAGCTGAGCCAAGTGCTTCAGTTTTGTTGCTGTACAGGGGGGATGGAGTGGCCTCAGCGACGGATGTGGAGTTTATTTTTTTATTTTTTTTTATTTTTAAGTAATTAAAAGAGTGTAGTAACGATCGTTATTATGTCAATTATGCATAATTTTAAGTGTTTCTGTTTACGCCGTTTGTTCGAAAGATCATCGCGATTGATGAAAGAATGGGTTCATCATGAGCCAATAGCTTCGAATTAAGATATACTTCTGGATTTCATCTTTCATTACCAGTGAGAATCTGCATTGTTCGAATGATAGCGCTATCATTCGAATCCCTGGTTGTTTTTTTGGAACTTTCTATTTACTTTTATCATAGAGTGCACTAGCAGCGGCCTTGTGAAAACGTCCTTATTCCGACACAGTCCTTTGTACTCTCTAGTGCTCATGCTGTTGATTCACGTTTGCACTTTCTCGTTGGCAGTGTCAAAGCGGTCTTTGACAATTGTTGCTGCGAAGGCAACTAAGGAGCCTGAGACGACGGTCAACTCGACTGTGAATGACTCGTCCGCTGCGATTGAAGATGCCCTCAAGAGTGTTCAAGAAGCAGTAAGAGTTCATCACGAAGGATCAGTTGTGATGTTGCTCTTCTGATATATGTCGCTCAAGTCCTGAATATTGATGAATGCCTACATTATTTCGGGGATCATTTCGTTTTCGTACGAAGAGATTCTAGTTTTTCTTCATAAAAAGGCTGTGTCAGTTTAGGTTTGATTAGTTCACCGCTGCTCCTACAGAAATTCGATTTTGACTAGTTGAATTCTGGGTTATAAATGCAGTACATGTTTTGCTTATATTTCCTCCGACTTTTGAACCGAGTATGATTTATTTTGCAGTGGGAGAAGACGGATGACAAAGTCGCCATTGCAGGTTTAGGATTGGCGGGTCTTGTTGCTATCTGGGCTGCTGCCGGTCTTATTAACGTAAGCGAGTTTAAATTCTTGAACTGCTAGTATCCCTCCATACTCCCTGTGCACGAACCTTACTTGAATTTGTTATCTCGTGGGGCTGCAAGTCTATCTTCTACAAGCTTGTTTCTAAACGTGCTTGTAGTTTCAGGGGGATTTCGGTTATTGAATCATTTTTCATGCATTTTTATTGGAAACCCGCAGGCCATTGACAAGCTGCCTCTCATCCCCGACGTTTTTGAACTCGTTGGAATTGTGTTCTCTGGGGTAACTTCCTACTTAACATCTGTCGGTTTTCGTCTTGTCATGACCACTGATTGCCATGATCTCGTGGATCATTCCCAGTACAGATGTATAGCCATTATATATGATGTTTTGCTAGTAACGAATCTAGTGATGATAACTTAGAAGCAACTTGTAGGAACATCATCAGCTATGAGTTACAATGTAGTAATCTGTATCTGACATTGTTGCATTTCTTTACCAGTGGTTTGTGTATCGTTACTTGCTCTTCAAGCCTGACAGGTTAGTCAGCTCTTAACCTGTCCTAGTTGCATTTTGTTTTGTGCCACTGTTGTGATTCACTGTATTTCCTCTTTGGAGGCTAGGCTCTTATGAAATACTCTGCTTTCATGATCCTGGATATCATTGAGGATAATCGTCTGCTTAGTGATTTGTGGGTGCTGATCTGATTCCTTGGTTCCTTGGATGTTTTGGTATTATTTCAGGGAAGAGCTGTTGAAGATCATTGACGAGACTAAGTCTAAGATAACTGGTCAGTGAGTCTGAGCAGTGTTGTATCAGTACATTTTTCTCCCTGAAATGGAAATGGGTGGCAGTTTCACCTGATAATCTACCTGCATAGATGTTGCGAATCTGGTACCGATAATGTGGTGTTTTAGGTCGAAACCACTTACTTTTTTTTCTTTTCTCTACTGCAGTCATTACCGTAAGTTGAGGAACTAAGGGGTTGAAGGTTAAGTGCATTTTTAATGTTTAACTGGTGGTTTTGTTTGGCACTTAAGTCCTTTGATCATTTTACGCGCAACGTGCCTCTTTCATGCATGGGGTATGGCACATGTGAACAGATAAGCAGTTTAATAATGTTCAGTAGCTCTTGTAGAATGTTGTATACCTGGTTATAAATTTGCTACCCATCATTTCGCAGCTTTATCGTGACTCTGAAAGTGTATATTAGCTACATTATTACCACGGTCTTTATGGCGCCCTCACATGAAGAAATATGAACATAATATCCTGTGGCTATTGTTTGATGAACCAAATTTCTGTATCACGATACAGCCGACAGTAAATGTACATATGGGGATAGATCAAATTACATTCAATCCGGACAACTCCAACCAGCTCCTCACCAACTATTGAAACTAATGTTGGGTTTCATTCATTAGAGGAATGGATGATTCTTTCTTCACGAAAACAGCTGCAGCTCTTTAGGAATGGTTTTAATCCACGAGGAGGTCATCAAATTGATAGGTGGCTGGTTCATACACCCCCAGCAGTTGGGAACAGTTCACCGCCAGAGATGACTCTAGATTTAGATGTAGAATAGGTAAAATTGAATCCCATCGTCAGGAGATGCCAGGGTGTGAGAATTGAAGTAGGAAAACAGTGCTGCCGCATGGATTCGCATGAGGAAACGCAACAAGTATCAACTTGGGATGATTGAAGAACCGCAGCTGCACAGGGGGGGAGGGCTTGAAGCTTGCTAGTCCACAACTATGTTTTTATTTAACTCCCCTCCATAAATGACCAAGGACATTGACTAGGTAAGGTGGAAAGTGAATCACGATGATTCACTGCGAAGTAACGAAAAATCATGGTGTGCTCTCGAGGTGAGCCTTGATGAAATTCTCTTCTATTTTTCATAATGTTCAAAATTTCAGGTTTTGATATGTAAAAGTTTTGTTGATGTGGGTGTGGGGTGCAAGAATATTTCAGCACTGTGCATTGTAGTGGTGGCCAAATAATTGCCAGTACAGCACATTTTGTCAAGTGATAGTTTTAGTTTTTTAGTTTTTTAATTTTTCTCTTTTCACAAGTGAGTACCAAGTTTTTGACTAACAGGTGAGATTATTTCTTAAAAACTAATAATAATAGCTATTATTATTGTGCACATCAGAATCATAGATAAGAGTGTTGGAAAACACACTTTTTAGGATCTTTGTTGCAAAACCATTTGGAACATATGTAATCAAAGTGCAAGCAATGTAGAAGCAATTATGCCATAGTCCAATATCATTGGTAGATCTAATTTAAGATTGTATAACTGTATTGAATATTTGTATTCTGTTACAAATGAAATTTGAAATTGGTTGCTTCAAATATTAAAAGAATAACAAAAGTATATCAAGAATTATAAATTGTGTTAACTATTTGTAAGTGTGAGTTGTATCAACTTTTCTTTTTACCCATTTAAATAGTTAAATTTTATGAATTGTTTTGATTAATGATACTAATGATTTATTTATAATTTATTTATTATTTGTATTAATTGTCTTATAATTCTTATATCTTATCAAATATAATAGAGTATTAAAATTTATTTGTGTAATATCATCCATTAAGGAATACAAGTTTATATTATAATACTTTTGTGCATCTTTTGTTTGGAATTTTTATAAATAAATAATATTTTGATTAATTTTATTCGATTTATATTTATTATGTAATTTATTGTTAATTATGATTTTTTCTTAAATGTGCCATGTTAAGTTTTAAACAAACTATTAAATTAAAAATGTAATTGAAAGTTATTATTTATGAAGATTTTAAAATGTGTAAGTGTGTCTGTGTATGTATATATATACATATAGGTAGAAATAAGTTAAATAAATAACACCTTCTTTAAGAAACATGAAAAAGATTTTTTAAATATAAATTGCATCTTAAGATTTGATTATATATTGTGTGGCTATAAAAACTTTCTGAATAGTTTCCTATATCTACAAAGCTATTATAAAAGTGTCTTGTATCTTGGAAATTTGGATGCTAGCTATGTTTTTTTTTAGAAAACTTTTACATGTCTTTTTTACAATTAGTAAATATAGAAGCAAAGCCAAAGCCATCTTCAATCTTATCAATGCCCTTTTTAAAATTCTAATCTTGGTTCAAGACTTCTTAATATTATTGATTTAAAAATAGACATTTTGGTACTATCATATCCAACAAATATATATATAATTTTAATATTATTTAATATTTATTTATTATTACATATCAATATAATTTCTATAAATATTTTTTTTAATATTCATGTTATTGATAATTAGAAAATAATTGCAATATTTATAGTTTAAAAGTAGATCTTGATTTAAAATTTTAAAAAATAATTTATCATAATTTTTAAAAATCATCAAAAGACTTTAGAAATTATAGTTTACCATCTTCCAAATTGATATTATATTTAAATTTATATTATTTTTTATGATTGCATTTAGTATTTTTTGCTTCTCTATCTATAAAAAAAAGGTTGTAAAGATAACAAGTGTTGTAATAAAAATGCTAGAATAGATAAGAAAATTGATACTAGTAATGCATCAATTTTGTTTATTATCACAACCAATATTATAAAAATACAAAGATGTCAAGAATTTATTTTAAAATATTCTATCTTAAGAAACTCCTTCCAGTATAGATCTTTGCAGAAATCTAGTTACATCTACTAAAAAAATCAAGAATTGATCTTATTAATAAATATAATGAATTAAATTTATTTTATATAATAAAGACTAATTATATTAAAGTTCCAACATATATTATTTTTTGCTAAGAAATCTTCTTATGTTGCATGTTTTTGAAACTATTCTTTCATATTTTTTTCCTTGTAGTTGGAAAATCCTTACATAAAATATATCAAAATATATTTTTTTATCCATTTCATCTATATAGATTCGTTTTTCTTATTTTCTTTCTTTAATATTTTCTATCAAAATTAAATATTAAATATTAAAATTCACATTTTATTTTTTGTTTAATTTAATAAACTATACAAAAAAAGAAAACAAAAAAAAAAGAGAATGTTTGTCTTGGCATTACCACTTTACCTTGTGGTCATACTAGGGCTATTCAAAGTCATCAATTGAAGCCACTTTTGCTAAATAATGACAAATTCAACTTTAAAATAGTCCAAAAGATAGTATACAATCTTACTGTTGGGGTTGTTGCAAATTTCGTCATTTACACACATAAATATGTGTAATTTTATGATTGGTGTAGACCAGATTTACTCAGAATAAAGAAACTATTACTGATACAATTCCTGTAGCAAAATCCAACCTTTAGTTCAATCATCAAGCAAATCTACATTCAATTGATATTCTGCACTTTACATGTTTCTAAAGCTCTCATTTCATTGCACAAGTTACACAAGAGAAAAAAATCATGGAAATATGCATTTAGAATCAAGACAAAACGTACTATTCAAAAACTAATATTGCAATCGCCACTTGAAATTCAATCAAGGAACAAATGGTTAGATGTTAGCCTTTAATCAGGTATTCGACTGCCACTTGATGATTTATTCACAAAAGCAAAAGTCTGTGACTGCTTCATATAAAATTACCCTTGGATAATAGCATAAGATACATGATTATTTGTCTTCCGGCTAATGTTATTACCAGCATTGTATAACTATCGCAACACACAACTCAAAAATTCAAATTTGTGCACGACTAAATATCTACACTATGCTGTAATACAAAAGAAAAAAAAAGAATACTACATGCTGCATTGTGCTTATGGGGGTTGTGAGGTCAAATACTTATAGCTGGAAATAAAAAAAATAAAAAAATAAAAAAAACCTCTACAAAAGAAAAATACGAGTGAAGTCATTGCTTGTGCTGCTGCACGCAATGTGCAGAAAGTATATTAAAAAAAAAAACAAAACAAAACAAAACAAACAAACACACAGTCAAGTTGTGTATAATAGATGAAACATGAACCCTAACCTGAATCCTTCATTGTGGATGTGACTAGACCGATAAAAACAGATGGCCTTCCGTGTTTGCAGACAAACAGACAGGGCGATGAATCATGAGCCAGCATATGAGCAGGATAAATCAAACTCTCTCTCTCTCTCTCTCTCTCTCTCTCTCTCCAATGAATTATCGAAAACTGAACTGCTAGAACTGTATTAGACCCAATTTAGTGAACGTTTCTAATTCTCTATCCTCTTAGTTGCTTGTTGAGTCGGCCTGCAACGGCTTCCACCACGCAACTATGTACTGTACATGTCTTCAGTGAAGAAAAAATTAATTGAAGTGGTGTATGATGTGGTTGATGAATACGCAGCACTGTATCACTTTTTCTGCAATTCAAATGGCGAGGGATATGAAACTCCGAGGATGCTTGGAAGTGTGTGGCTGTAGGCTAGAGCACAAGGCAAGGATGGATTGGACTTGTGGGGATGCAAAAGAGGTGAGTTGGTAGAATGGAATGGGATTGAAGAACCTGGTTGTTGTTGTTATTGTTGTTTAGTAGAGGTAGTAGCATTACCTGCATGATGTTTTCACAGGCTTCCATGACTTCGTCCAAAGGGGCCCAATCGCCGAAGTTCCGCTCCACGAACTGATACGCAACGCCACCGCTTCCTGCTCGGATGACATACAAGTCTCCCTTGATGTTCCCCTTGCCCCGCACATTCCAGTCGAAGCCGGTACTGGAGGATCGCTTGTAGTTGGCTATCGCAACGGGGTTTAGAAAAAACCCCGTGAGATAGTTCTCTCGCGGCATTCTGCCGTCCCAGAGCTCTGAAGAACTCCCGGTTCTCGTCTACTACCACCATGCCGCCCCAGTACCGCAGCCAGAAGGCTCTCACCTGTCCAACCCACACGTAGCTCCGTTCACAACCCAGAATCTCACTCAACAAACAACATCGGATACTTACTTCACTCCAACACGCAAAGAAGCTAAATTTATGAGATGAAACGTTGTTTTTCAGGACCAAAGTTTTGGAACATGAATCTCTCACGTTTTGTCGTCTTTTGAAACTGCTTGTCAAATTGTAGACATAGAGGTTGATGCCACGTACTGTGCAGTGATCGGTTGTTAGAAAAAAGTCTAGATAAATCACAATGAGTTCTGGCTTCTTTCTAAGTGCAATGTGCCAATGATCAAGGTGGGGATTGATTTACCTCGCCGTCGATGTGTTCGGTCAGCAAGACGACCAGCTGGATGCCCATGGCATCGAAAATCGGCTTCCGGGTGTACAACTGATGTGCTTCAGCGCGACACATCACACATCTGGCAATTTCGAAAGAGTCCAAAATATGGGTTGTTAGTGTCTTAGAGTAGTACGAGTTTTCTCCAAGTGGACTATCGCCACATGTGTTGACTGAAGTATTTTGGAAGTATTTTAAGCTAAGATGTAGGATTACGTATATATCTACTGCTTGTCACAACAGGAAACTAGGAAATCGAAAGAGTAGCAACGTTGTCAGGATCAGGATCACATGTCAGTTCCGTGGTTCTTTTAGTGGGATTCCAAATGGGTATGTTTTCCTTATTGGTTCATGCCTCAAGCAGCCTTCTCGGGTAGGCTCTGAACATGCCCACCTTTTCATGTGCACATGAAAAGAAACCCAATCAGAAGAGAGAAAATGAAAAGAAAAAAAAGAAAAAAACAGGGCGTTTAAGCTGAATATCGATAAAAGTATCCATGAAAGTAGTCAAACTCGGTGAGAACTATCATCAACTAGACAGATATATTTACCATGTTACAGCCACTTTTTGTCCTGGTCCACAGTAGATAAAACCAGCATAGACTGGACTGAAGCATGGGAACACAAAGGGCAACAGTATCTGCAAAACCAACCTGACTAGCACAGTTCCTTAAGATCCTCAAGCTTGCACCGACCACTTTTCAAATCTCGAAACGCGACTTCGCAGCAAGTGAAAAATGCTACATAAAGTGGACCTAATTTTGCTGCTGTGGGAAAAAAACCCCAAATAAAAATAAAAATAAGAAACAAACAGGGCTTTGCAATTCCATTTCAATTTATCATCGGTCGGCATTGCACCGCCCATCTCCATCGCATCTTTTCTCCATGGTTTTTGTCAATGGATTGCATTGCTGTTGGATTACGACGCTCACCTTCCTTGATAGACCCATCATCTGCAGCAAAACATATTGTTTAATTCACATCAAACACATTTGTGCCTGTGTGTGTGTATGTTAAAGAGAGAGAGAGTGTGTGAGTTCCTTGCCGTGATGTAAAATCGAGTCAGTACAATGGAGACATGCTTGAATGGGTTTCTTTTTCCCCTACGAAGCTTTTAACAAAAAAAACATATCAAAACAAAACAAAACGAACAAAAAAAACACATTTTACGTTCAATATTATTGCTGCTTTAAGCGCCCAATAGAAATGATGTTGGTTCTTAATGCACACTCATAGTCATTAAGCCAAGGAACCTAGAGATTCAGACACACTGTTCTAAATTGGAAGTAAGTTATGGATTCCAGCTATTCAGTATCTCCCTCATCTTTTCATGTGAGTGCATGTACCGAACAAATGTTTGGGTCTGTGTCGAATTGTAACAGATTTGGATTTATGTCTGTTTGTTCCAGAAGCCCATAAGCCGTAGAAGATGTGAATCTTTTACCTCCAAAGGATTATTTCAGGCGAATTAGGGCAATACAGTCCCATGTTCAGATTGAGCATTCATGGATATTAAGTATGAAATAATGGAATAATGTGTCCTTATATATATATATATATATATACTCTAGTGGAAACTTGTGTTGTGGGCTACAAAAAAATATTTATGAAAATTACAATTGGGATTCTAAATTGCAATTCTAGTGATCTTGCAGTGCTACTCTAGGCAATTTGCAACAACAACATGCAGATTTTAGATCTACGTCAATTGAACTTTTTACTGACGTAGGATATTCCACAAAACTGAATAGATTTACTATTAAGAAAGCCCCCGCTTTAATCGTCACTAAAAGTCATCTTACGACTTCGAAAGGGTAAACATTCTCCTCTGCTAGCAATACACTTATCTCATCTCTTCAAAACCTGAACAGCCGGGACATGTATCAGATCTCAGTTTTTCGAGATATTGCTTTCGGAAGTAAGCATACCCGATTATCAGATGGCCTAAGATTCTTCGACCATGTCTCATTCGTGAGGCTGAGCTTTGGGGGCTAAAAAGGAAAAAAATTAGCGAACTCACAAGGGAACAGTTTCCTCTACAAAAGATGGCCAAGTTACGAGGGCATAGCTTTAAATAACATCCAACTAATAAAAACACGAGTGGACGCCAACGTCACTGATTTATAGAAAAAATTATAGTACATTTACATGAGGACATTGTCTTGATCTGTGTCTTGACAGCACAACACCACCACCTTGTCTTCTATGTACAGCTAAAACTACAGAGGTGAGAAGAGATGGAGCTCGAACCTCCAAAGCCATCCACCTTAGAACCAAGGATGACAATGAAACAGATGAGCAATACAGATGCTGCATGTTGCTATTTGAAATGTAATACCAAGGAGGTCGAACTTCTACGAACTTACATCCTCGCCACTTGCTGAGACTTGATGTGGCATCACACATAACCTGTAGCAGCTAAGCAATATACAAAAGCATCCAACTCATGTTGAAAACTTCGTTGAATCGCTCAAACGAGCATTGAATTCTTCACAGCTAAAATATCATTCTTCTAAGAATCTCGAATAAGCCCACAAGTATTTCAAAGTGAAGCGTGGTCTTGAATGTGGTCATCCTGCTTGAGATTTAAAAGAGATCAGAAAATGTAAGGAGCTTTGGAGCCTCCATTGCATTCTATCTTAGAAAGAGGGGACTTGTGTTCTAGTCTCAACAAGGTCTCCGTCTCGAAGTTTTGTATGAGGAAGCGCTGCTTGGTGGTTGATAAATACGATTTCACCATCCATACCCATTCGCCTTGCTAAATCCGCCGCTGTGCTACCAGCTGGCATGCGCATGATATCACCGTCTGGCCAACTAATGACGAGAACTTCCACCAAGGCGGCTGTTTCGGGGTGATCCGGATTGAGGATTGTCACTGACCCATCGGGTGCAACCTCATGCCGCAGCTCCTGCTCCCATTGCAGCATTGAACGCAGCAGCTTCACCTGCATTTGTATGATCTCTCCCATTAGAGATACAATTTGTAAGCAAATCTGCGATTATCTGTCTCATATCACCAAAAAAGGGCATACAGAATGATAGTTCAAAGATTCTCCTCTATTAAATCAAACTAATGAAGCGAGAAAAACATAAAATGCAGCTCTACCAAAGCTTCATGGAACAAAATATAGATATACAGTCAGCATTTACTTTATTGTTCAACCGAGTTGTAGTGGATGTTCCAGAGCCGAGATCGTTATGCTGGTCAGCAGCATTGTCCACAAATATATCTACCTCTTCCCCTTGTTCCACCATGCTCATGACCTTCCAGTAGTCATCTTGTTCAGACTCATTTAGATCTAGAAGTTGAATAAAAGTTGGAAGGGACCTGTCGAACTGATCTTGCTGTTATCATATACGTAGACCACTACATCATGTCAGTTCAATGCAGCGTAAGGAGAATGTGAAAATTTGCTGCACTAAGATATGTATCCAGTGTGAGGATGTCGATAGAGAGGGTAAAATTACGCGTAACCGATCAAGAGGCAGTGAAATAACACGCTACGGATTGATTTGCAAGTGGTTCTTGAGAATTGAATAAAGTACACCTCACAAATTCAGAATCATGTTCTACATTAATTGTCAATTTTTAGTGCCACTGACATCTGACAAATAGAATTTCACATAAAAGGCTTCTTGTTTAGCACCCGTTTTATTGCTAATCGAGGGATCAAGATACGATAAAATTCAATCTTTCATAAAATTCATTACAATGTATTAAAAGCAGGAATCCGAACCAGCTTGTGAACCTACACACTTACTTTATGATATAGACCATCCCGGCATAACGTGTACTTCTCCAAACAAGTGCTCCAGTCTCCATGCCCTGGTGCAAACCACCATTGATCTGCAACCTGTTTATCACCACCGCATCAATTGCATAGCAAATATTGTATGCATTGGACAATTTTCAAGAACATCATAAAGCCCAACATAACCTCCACATGAGTTTACATGAACTCTACCTTTTTATAAAGGCGACAATATGTTAACCATCGTTTTCTCTGATTTCCAAAACGACCTGCAGCTACCGCCTCCCTTGCGTGGAGGGCAAAGCTAGCAGCCACCAAAAGCTCCCTGCCTTCATCCATCACTCTGCACGCGTGCAACTAATGTAAGGTAAAATGTATTTCATAGCAAAACATCAAGCACATAACACAATGCTAAAAAATAGACATATTATAATAGGAAACCTGATTGGCTATGTATACAATTGGAGTTCCTGAAATCCTTCCACAGTACACTTGCACTGCAAGTAAGTGAAGTCCTCAACATACCCCACGATAACAGCTGCAAGTAGTCTTCCATCTTCAACTCGTAAAGCAGGATGTCCCATATACACTGGTCTTCTAGGCGAAGGTTTAGCGAAAACCTCTCGAATAGGACGACCATACTGGTTACGATGTTCCTCTGTATCAGACTCACGTTCATCATCACTGGCATCATCTGAATCAGGCAGGGGCGAATCTACGGGAGGGTTCATCGGTGTTGTAGCCTTGACAACAGTATCTCCTTCTTTGTACAACCAGTGCGCCGCATGTCCATATTCCGCATGATCGTGCATTCCCTTCACATCAAAAAACTCCGTCGTTGTTAACTCTGAAGTTTATTTATGCCAGCAATCACACTAGCGATGATAATCAGTAAATCATGCCTGTGAGATACATGTATATCCTAGAGAAGAGAGAACAACGGATGTTAAAGCAGCCTACCCTTGTCCGTATTTGTACTTCCAGAGGCGCACCATCAGGCCCCTGTACTGCAGTGTGCAAAGACTGCAAAAATAGACGCCACAAATTAGAAAATTCCAAGAGAATCCCAAATACAGATAAGATGAACAACTATATCTGTATATAAATACACTGCACGCTGCGTTGTCAAGATATGTAAACAGAAATGATATTTGTCCTAACCTGGTAACCACTTGGCTTCGGATTCAAAATGTAATCGTCAAACTCTCCACCAACAGGCTTCCATAGACTACAATGCACCAGACAAAGGCGATTCTATCAGACAATTAAGTCTTACAGCCTGAAATAGTCGAAAGTCCTCTACTCTGGACTTGAAAAACTATAAACTTTCAATTAGATGGCGTATTCAATATATCAATAACTACTGTACCCATGCCGGCTCTCAATTAAGTAATGGCAGCATTAAATTGCATTTTCCATTCGATAGTTCATAAGCACAATAAGGGAAATGATTGATTTATGACCATCAATTTTCTGAAAACACACTCAGAATAGGTTGTCCTTTTGACTTGGGACGGAGATCAAAGTAAAATGTATCTTATGAAAGCACAAGCTAACCTGTGTACAACACTCAGGAGGTTATAACAACCCTCTACGGCAGCAACGTGAAGCTTGCCATCTCCGTCACCAACTATCACCCGCAGAGCCCGAGCATCAAAGATTTGATCAACTCCTACGCCTTTACGCCTCATCTGTGTCATACGCAATACTCAGATAAGATACACTTGCTGTTTTTCATGGAAGAATAATTTGGTGATTAACTGCATTGTAGGGTGTCCTACTGACAAGTTAAACTGCAATAATATTTCAGATGGATGAGAACATCTCATTGTAGCACATCGGATACAAGTGGAGGGTACTAGCGCCACATTAGATGAGCACAATTGCAAAGTAATGGTTCAAAAAACTTAAATATGGAATGAGGTAGTTCAAATATGTTCACAAAAATCAATATAGATACATGATTGAATTTCAAGATGTTCACCTTACACCAAGTACTATACAAGCTCTTCAATCGACCTGAGAGTCTAACCTCCATTCCTGGGACATACCTGTAGTCAATTTGGAATGAGTAAAATTAGAACTCCGTGTAACGTGTTGAATGAGTTGAGATGTAACACAAGACTAAATATTCCTAGATCATTATTGGCAGCTAAATTCCTGGTGGGCCATCCATCAGAGTTACAAAGAAATGGCATTCAACGAAGTTACAGAAGTTTCTGCAACGAGAATGGTTTCCATCACTACAAAACTATCAAGGGAAATTACACGTATCATAATGACGACGTTTTCTACTATATGTTAATGTAAGGACACCAAATTCCACAAATGTCCCAAGTTTCAGCTGGACAACACTATGCACCCAATTTTGTGTTAGATTTTCTTCATTACACACACTAGCTAGCTTATTGGCTAGTTTTGGGATATGGTTGAATAGGGGAAGTGGACTTACGAAGTAGCGATGAGAAGCTCACGCTCAAGTGCCTCTTCACATGCACTTAGAGCAGCCAGGGCAACTTTCGCATCCCGGATAACTTTGGGCAGTTTTTTCTCACCAGGCCCAGGTGTAACTATCCTCCACTTTCGTCGCTTACGGTCTGAAAGCACCTCAAATGGGACTACAGCTTGCAATAATTCCTAGAAGTTGCATAAGAAAAAGCAGAACATTAACAGAGCTTTAGGTCCATATAACTCCCTTGGTTCACCCGTGCGCTCTAGATCACAAGCTTCGGTGTTATACTGGGATTGTCCAGTAGTCATCTGACCCAAATTAACTAGGTGGTTATCTTGACGAAATAAATAAGCGGTTCAGCTTTCTATAGACACTTTCATTGGCAACCAACTCTGCATCCACTAAGGATTCAAGGACTTTGTAATCTCACAATGAGCTTGGAGATTTTGATACCAGTATCCTGTGATTTAAAAGTCATTCATGTTGACGTCAGTAGTAGTCAAAAACATTCCCGCTAAATACTCACAAATCCATCCACTGCATTAAAATAAAAGAAACTTAATTGTTGCCGCTGGACGCTGAGGATGTGATCGAGAAACCACAACTCAAGCTCCTGCATTATGATCCGACATAAGAGGTAAAATTTGGACCTGGGGACAAAGCGAGAATGCTAAAAAGTACCTGCATAGTCAGCACTTCATCATCTTCAGGATTGTGCTTAGGCTCCAACTCCTCCTCTAAAAGCTCACCATATAACAAAGCTCTCCGCTTAGCACGTTTTGTAATACGACGTAAGGACCTCCAATCCTTACGGGGGCTCCAAATAGCCGCTAGTTCTGCTCGTAACTTTCGAAATGCTTCCGGCTTCAGAGGCAAATGCAAAGGTGTCAGAAATCTCGTGCAAACTACGTCACGAAAGAAACGTCACAACACATTTCCTCTTCACCTTTACAACGTCAGTTGTCTGTAAATGTACTGTCTGAGCTTAGAATGGTTCATCAAATGAATCATGACGAACGAAAAATTGATTGATCAATTGAGCGAACCAGCCCGCTGCATTAGCCTGGAAAAGAGATATTGAAGAGCATGAATATACTCACATACAATACAGCAAAACAGAGATCCTCCAATTCAGCTTTCACAGCCCACTCGCCCAGCTTGGATGCAAGTGAACACCATACTGCGAGTGTCTCTTGCGCCACTGCACTCGCCTTCGCTTCTGGCAGGGCATAGCTGCAATTGCATCGCGAGAAAAGACGTGTAACTAACATGGAGCAAAGAACATGGCTTGACTATGAGAATTTGATTTTAAATGATAAGAAAAATCTTCAGAAATCATAGGTAGTCGCCTGAGATCTCTTGAAGTTGAAACGGGAGAGTCGTATAATCCCGTAGTATCATATCGAGATACTAAGTAACCGACAATCAGGAAAAAGTAGCGTAGAGCGTACATTGTCCGCATGTTGTGAAGACGATCAGCAAGTTTGATCAACACCACCCGTGGATCATTGACCATACCCAATAACATCATACGCAAATCATCTACCTGGAATTTGCACCAGTGCCATGCGCATCAGTGTCCACAGAATCAATAAACTACGTCGCTTCAAGAGACCAGTGTGCGTATATTCAACATTCCTCGAAATTTCCAAAATATCCTCTCCAAATTACAAGACATCGTATCAGACGCTCGATTGAGTCCTCTGTATTAAACCTACCTCTGCTTGACTCAGTCCTTCCTCATCAACTGGTTTTCCTTCACCTGCTTTTCTCCGCTGCCTTCTCAGTAGCTGTATAAGACACAAGTAGCAGTTCAGTTCATCAAAAACTTAAATGAGGGGATTTTTCACACTATCTCTGAAAGGCGGAGGTTATGTCTACCCTATCAAAGAACCATGAAAAAATCTGAGCAGAAAAAACATTATTTTTATAACTGGTGACAAAATGAGAAAGACAGGCCACAAAAAAAATAAAAATGGACTCATGTAAGGCGGATAGTGCGAGGCTACAGTTAAGTGACTGATTCATGCCAAAATTTACAAACCGCTCTCTTATTTCAAGGATAAACCTGATTAATATTACTGAGCTTCGAGACACCGGCAACAAGCTTGGATACGTCATCCCCGAAATGCAACCGTACACTTTGATGATCGCGATCCGTGTCGTCAATAACATCGTGCAAGATACCGGCAATAATTGTATCTATCACCTGTGCCAACATTTGGAAAGCAAAGTTACCGCTGACCTTTGAGGACTTGGCATGCCAGTAATTACAACCTAGAAAAATGCAAATCAGAGTCAAATCATGATCACTACGTTCGAACTAGAAGCTGTTCACTCGATTATACAAAATGTGGCCAACCTAAAACAATGTCACTCAAACAACAAAACCTTGAGTTTAGGGTTTAAAGCCTACCCTTTTCCCTTGTTGATGTGGAATTAAATCCGCAAGAATTCTAGCAGTGTGGATACAATGGGTAATGTAGGGCTCCCCAGTTCTTCTAAATTGGCCAGCGTGTGCCTCTCGAGCATACTCTATAGCTTTTTGTACCTGCAAGTCAATGATTCCATGTTCAGTGCACGAAATGGCCACAAAAACGGTATACATCACTTGATATCACTCTTCAAAAAAAAGAAATAAAACATACAAGTAAACAAAAGAATCACCTCAGCTTGTAGAAATACTTTGTGGCCAGTCACGTCTACTCCGTCAATCTCCACCACGGCAACTATCAAAATTCAAAAACCAAAAATAAAAAAACAGGTTAGGAATGAGATGATTGAGTGCAGCTCCCATCGAAGAAATCCTCGTTGCAAGGGTATTAGGACACATCTTTCTTGAGAAAACTCAAATGAGATTTACATGCACGCTCACTCAGTCAATCAATCGATCTACCGACATACCCGCATTCTCTTCCTCATGCTTAGCTCTTCGGCTCTTGAGCCCCTCGGCATACGGAGAAAGATAGGCGCCATAACAGACCGCTGCAGTAACAGCCACTTGCGTCACCGTCGCAAGGGCCACTCGCAGGACCACATGGTGCGTCCCAGTAGAGGTAACTGACGCAGCTGCGGTTCCTACCGTCACAACCTCCCGGACAATAGCCTCAACTGTCCCTTTCCTTCGCCTCCTCTTCTCATAATCCTTAAAATGATTACCATACACTAGAATTCCCTCTCCAGCACACAGTTTTTGACCTCGGAGCATCCTGTTCCATGAATTAAAATCCTCTCTACCCGTTCCCTGTGGGCTTATCCTCGCAGCCTGCCCATCACACCCCCAATTGGGCCTGAAAACAGGAATCGTACATGAAGACTGACTGCAAGCCCGTGACGTGCTTAAGTACGGGCCAGCCGCCATCCTGCCCTCGCAGAAGAAGACTCCCCTCTGCAACAAGATTGCCTACGACGCATGTTCAACCATCTGATTTTGTTCAATCCAATTCTTGGTTCCTCCGTGCAATGAGAACGTCACGCCCAAACCCCCGCTCTGAATGTCTATTGCACAAACCCAGCTGAGACTTGAGCGACAGCGGCGAATTCGAAGAATCTCACGCTTCAATTGTGGAGAATCCGAAAGGAAGCACGCGAGAGGGAAGTGCAAGCTGAAGCCTGCTGCAGCTGGAGGGTGGTGGAGTGCAATAGAAGAGAAGGCATCTACAGGGGCTCTGCACCTCACATCTCCGGAACCTGGATCTTGGTCCTACTATTGGTAGGGTCCCACCACACCGAGATCGGATGAACAGGGGTCTCATTCGTCCATCGCGAAATTTTTACATAGGTGTATTATGTACATTGTCGATAATTTTCAAGGATGGGGATCATGTACAACAAAGTCCGGGAAAAATATCGCAGAAATTTGAAGGTGGGGAGAGGAGTGATGATGTCTGAGGTAGTAAACAAAAGTTCAGTCGTGTGAGTGGTGGCAAGTGATGGAATGATGAGATGGCGCCCTTACCACTCGTCCTCCCCGCTGGCCCACTTCTCGCAGCCATTTGAGCAGCACCAGATGTCGAGTTCGCACATGAAATAATTGTCTCACTCATTCCTCGCCAAATGTTTCATCGCTCCCTGGCTTTTGACACCCTGTTCCCCAAGTGGTTTTTCAACGTGACCAGTCCCACAGGTATTGGACCATTAACAGGATTTTACTTATCTCCACGATATGACCCTATGTGCTACTCAGATTCTTCGTCGCAAATTGAGTAACATTCGAGTTTGAGGAATCATACCGGAGATCGTTTAAAGAATACCTGAGGTTCTTCGATCAAGGAAGAACCCCCCAAAAAATCTGGGTGAATTTGAATGGCTGTCTGAGAAGCAGATCCAACATCCAAAAGTCGATTTCACTCCTGATCCAGAAATCGACCATCGGTTGCACTTACAAATGGAGGACAAACCAGCTGTGTTTCACGAAGAGAATTTCGATGGGGGCCTTTTTCTGTGCTTCACTGTCTCAGGTAGTCTGCCGTGCTTGTGTCCACGCCTGCTCTGCATCAGTGTAGTTTCCGCTTGCTAGCAACTCCACTTCTCAATCGCGATTCCATGGTTCCCTTGCGGTATCAGTTACGGGTAGTTTAACCACACTTATGGCTCCGCTTGCCTTTCAGTAGAGCATTGAATGCACCTGGTACAACAAATTTATCAATTGAATCATAACTACAGGTGGTATCAGGCGTGTAATATAGCCTTCTGGGGATGGCGTAACTGGTAGAAGGCCCTTTTGAGTGGATCCCAGGAATCGATTGCAGTTAGAAAGTTGCATCATGGTTGGTTTGGGCTTGAACGCTGTTTGGTAGTAGAGCGGTTGAGGAGCCCAAGGTTTCCAAGAACGGCTTTAGTACTACATTTCTCCATATCAACATTGCCTCGTTGACAAAGATGTATCAATGAAAACTAAACTAGGCCTAAGTAATATTAAGTGCAACACTGTCAAAAGTAGTCAATCTAAACCTGCTTTTTGTAAAAAATTCTAAGAGAATAGGCAGTAAATTCCAAGAGAAATGAGGTTGCTAATAGGGAGAAACTACACAGATGTGGCAGAAAAGGGTAGAAGAACAGCAAATAAACATGAACCACCACAGTAGGCAGGAATGCTGAGTAAAGACACAAAATAAGAGCGATTTGGTAGGGTATGGTCAAAAAGCAAGCAATACTGATAGATCAAAATGCCAAGTGGTGAACAAATCTATTGAAACATATGGTGCACAAATATAAGTAGAGAAGTGATGAAACATGTACTGTACTTGTTCATTTAGACTGTTTTCTTCATCACTTGGAATACTATATACCACCCACAATGTATGGGCAAGGTTAATTGTGTCTCGTCCATCTTACTGAAATCATAGAACTAGTTATATTCTCAATAATATTCACATTAACGCATTCTAAGATTGCAAAATGGGACCAGCTGATGCCAGATATGCACGTGTTCAGAAGCATACTGGACATCTAATCAATCCGTTCTCGTTGCAATTAGGACAGCGTGCGACCTCGTTAGAAGCAGTGATGATCTTGCAACCGCCATTGCATTCCGGACAAGGAACAAATCTGACACCACCACACCCATCACAGGCTTGTTTGAAAGGTACAGCAGGTAAATCTTGCAGGAGCTCACCCAACTCTCCGTCTTCATGAAGCCGCCGCACTTCATCAAACCCACCAATGTAGTGCCCTTTAATAAATACACGTGGAACCATGGCAGGCTCACTAAACAGGGACTTCAGTTCTTGTCGAAACTCCGCATGCATGGATACATCACGCTCATCGATCCAAATTGGAAAGCTCTGAAAAATCATCTTCAACCGCTGGCAGTCTTCGAAAGTTTGTCTTATTCCTCGCAAACTGGTCAAATAAAGAACCACTCTATGCTCTCCACCGGGTGGACATTTCTCTTCGTATTTCCATAGTGAGTCCACAATCACATGCAATCTCGGCTTTTCAACCCCCACGGGAATAACCTTCGCAAACGACGTCCTGTCCGACCCAAATGTCCCAAAGCGCGAGTCCGCCAGAGTACTCTCATGAAAGCCAGATGCATAGCCAAAATCGTTCTTTTTACTACTCGGCCATTGCATTAGAATATGGTTATCAATGGTTTTAATTGAACTCAGAGCCTGAACTTCATTGCTGCCGATATGACACCAATCGTCATCCCAAGCTGTCTTGTCCATTGCATCTTGAAATGTAGCTATAATATCCGGATCAAACAAGTTGCTACCAGTAACCTCGCCATTTGGAATGGTAGGGAAAACAGTTCGTAGACACCTAGAATCCTGCAATGGAAATCCCATAACTTGCCCACTCGGTAAATCTGCACTGCTGTGTGGGCCGCTGAATCTCTGGGAGAAATCCATGCTGCCCCTACTTATGTAGTCAAAACTTTGCTTCGTCAAAAACTGCGTTATCGAGGATGTCGAATCCGTGCAGAAGAGGTCAGGAACGATTCCTGCCTTACTCAGCATCCTGAGCCCATCGACAGCCGAGGCGGATCGAGATCGAGAGAGAGTCTTTACAATGGATCCTGGGGGGACTTCCGTTATGGACACCATGTCATTTTGTTTGGTAGAGTTTGTGGATGTCGACAAAGGCGATACAAGAGGGGCGTTGTCATCTAGTCCTTCCATAAGCTCCCATGTGTTGACTATCTCAGTTTCGCTGGACTCAGAGGGCTCCATCTGTCTTAGAAGCGAGGATTTAGGATCAGTTTGGTCCTTTCTGATTTGCTCCGACTTGAACCTCGAGCAACCCATAGCCATGTCAGCCCAGGTTTTTGGTGCCCTCTCACGACCAGACATAGAGTCCGACTTCCTCATCTTGCTGTAACCAAGCATTTGCAATTCGCCAGATTCGTTCTCTTCGGTGAGAGGTACCATATGCTCGTTCATTCTCTCTGCCTCCAATAATTTTGTAAGGCCATATGTGCTCGAAGTTAGTGCCACAATATGGTAATCATAATGCAAGTCACGTGGGTTTGAGGATCTTAAGGGTGTGTAAGAATTGCTTTTGCCCAACCTCCTCCTACTCCCAAATCTCTCCTTGTCCCCACTTGAGATACCTCTATCTCTGGACGTTGTACACCCCATCGTGAAACCTCCTGCGTGGTGCACTCAATGCTATGATATCGAGTAAATAATCTCCAAATCATATGACCACATCCTCTGCAGAACATAGTCTATCCCTGCATTACAATTGCAAATCACTGAGTGATGCTTCCAGATGGGTAGAGCCAACACAATAAAATAAGTCCAAAAGAGTTGCCGTGCAGAACGAGGCAGAGATAGGAGTTACCATCAGATAGCCAGAAAAACTGACGGAAATGATCTGCCAAGTAAAGGAAAGATGCGAAGCAGAGCACACCACTCCATTGTCTCTGAGATGGTACCTGCTGCTACCAAGCATGCATTTTCATTCTGAAAAGACACCTTTCCTAACAAATGAAGTACCCATCGCACCACATCATGCAGACATGGAGTCCTGTCAATGAGACAAAAATGTTAGTGCCTTGAGAAAAACAATCCAGAAAATCATGTTAAAGATAAATTAAAGTTATACAGAGAGATGCTATTCTACAATATAGCTTTTGTTTTACAATGCAAGGATACACGATGCCTCAATTCCAGGACTTGATCTTGAGAACATCACCATCTCTCCAAAGTAGAAAAAGGGACAAATAATCGATCATGGTCCGATATCAAGCATTGCAACGTAGAACAAGCTTGAGAGCTCTGTCTCGTATTCCACATTTATTCCACCAATCTAAAATCTGAGCTAGGTTATCCTTCTAGACAATATACCAAAATGATGGAGATTCAGCTTCCACGAACAAAATGAAGGTTGTGATGTATGAGATGATTTGCATACAAGACCCAATTTTCAAAGGAACTACAAAATGGAGGGTCAAATTACGGTATATTGGCCTAATAACTAAAAGTCCTCTTATCTGAAAGTTCTGAATTCTGTTTCAATGAATTAAAATGTTACATTGCTAGAACTTACTCGACTCAACCCCTCAAGTTAACCCTTAAAAAACTGAAAAAACCCACACATAAGGTCTGCACGAAGAGTAACTAAAAGAGCTTTACTCATCTATGCTCTCTATAGAATGCAACGTCGGATTACTTCGATCAACCCTAAACTTTCAAACCACAAGTTGTAGGTTCAATCCGATGCGGTCTTAATGTGAATTAGACTATCATTACAAATAGTAAATGAAGGAAAAGTTGCAGGGCACACAGTACCTCAAGAAATGGAGCTTGAAGGGTGCGATAACCCATAGGCTCCAATCCTCACCAAAAACAATCACGCCAATGCCATCACAACACTCCACGTTACAATTCTCCAAAGCTGATGGTCACACAGCCACAGAGATCCTACAACTACAGCCTCCAGATCCTCTCCCGCGTTTCCATGCTCAGCTGACATTGAAGCTCTGCGAAGCAACAAAACGTTGGCCTGAAACGATCACAGCATCGGAGGAACGCCGACAACAGTAGTGCGGAAGTTCAAACTGGCCAAATCCGTCCAAAAGCCACAACGACTATGGATGAAAAAGTTGGATGAAACTATCATTCCTCCGAATATAGCATGCTTTGGAGCACTTCATCGCACCCAGATTAGGTGGAGAAGACGTGGTTTGTTGAAAAAGTCTTTCGATACAGTTCATGATCATTTAAATACATCGGAAGTGATTTTGAAATGTTGCCCGCCATTGGCTACATCCCGAAAACACTATTGGCTACATCAATCTCCCACCTCCAGGGATCCATCATGCGATTCAAAATGAACGGTCTGAAGTTTATAAAGTTCAATTACAAGCATACAGTTTTAAAAAGTTCGGAATGCGGCAAAAGCTTGGTAGTTTATGTTCCATATTTTACCAGCCAGAGAACTTAATCCCTCAAAACAGTCATTACCGACTGAAAAATACTAATTAGATCCCAAGAGTCTCCATAAGTTACTTCCTAAATACTCTTTGTATACCGCTGACTATTGACTAAGGAGGTTGAAAGTGGTGACAACGACGGAGATATCCAGGTAGAGAGCGAGTTAGCAGGCGTCACATTGTGAGTAATATGTGCAGATGAAGCTGGCAAAGCAGGAATATTTGTCAGGTTGTTTCCTACTACAGAGGAGACCATCAGTGTTGCACTTGATAATGGTGACGCAGGACTTCTCCCTCCTGGTGGTATCATGTTGACCTTTATTCTGGAAGGTTAAAGCAAGACAAAAACGTCAGCACATGTACACCAATGGTAATCCAGAGCAGTCTATCTGACGTGATAAATAATAGAAGCGTCCTGAGCACGTAAAATTTCCAGGATCCGTCCATTTCAGGCTTGCATACAATAAGGGCCACCTGTGGTAGCTGATCAAAGGAGGTCTCTACATCTCAAATCACTGCTTTGAGATATCGAAGAGCATATGTATTTTATTCATTACTGAATACATCTGAAAGAATCAAAAGAAAAAGTAGATAGAGAGAAATACATCAAGCAGAGTCTTACTTGTTATATATGTCTACGTACTCATCCGTCTCATCCAGAATCTCCTCCTGATGAACATTGCAAACATGATAATCCAATCAACATGCAGAGCATACTAATGTGAACCAATTGTATCCATTCTTTGCTACTGACAAGTGGCCAAATATTCCAATCAAGTTTTTTTTCCTGATTCTTGACTGATACCATTGGAAGTATGCAACTTATGCTTCTGACAAGCTCAAGGACGACGTAATTCGGTTATAACCCTTGCAACAGAGCGAGAAACAGAATATCTCCAACTAGTGAATCAAACTTTGCAGTGAAAAACCTGTAGAAGTTCTTCAATGAGGTCCTCCATGGTTATAATACCCACGACCACCTCGTCATTTGCAAAACTTGGTAATGACCCTTCACGAATCTCTAGAACATTACGATCCGCAGAATTCACCAATTTCTTGATGCGCTGCGGAAGAGGATGACCAGGAGTACCTTCGTCATTAAGTTTTACAATTGGCACTGAAATGAAAGGTAGAGAACGTCCCCTCAATTCATTTCCAAGTCCAGTTTTCTCTACTCTCAGTGGTCCAAATTGTTTGTGTCCATTCTCTTGGTAGGTGGATCCTTCATCCGGTATCTCAACTCTAACCATGAGGTCTTGACACCCCAAACCTGCAGCTGGAGAACGAGATCTCGTTATTTCAGACATCGCAGAAATGAAATGAAATTCACTGCAAACTTGGCTTCAAAGTAGGTATGACATATAAAGCTGTAATGTCTACCAAAACTAGGTTCCCAGAAAAGCACTCAACGCGCATATCGTTCACTACAAAGAAGTGCTCCAATCTCGATAACACACCATCAAGTCTCGTTTTTGAACTGCGGTGAGATCTGAATTGCCTCTTACGGACTTGATGTATGGACTCAGCCTTCTCCTTATTGTACTTAACAACCACTGCCATATGACTATGACCTTTCTGAAATTCATTTAGAATGCCGTACAATGGCGCATCCTCGTCCACCCTGAACAAAGTCCGAAATTAGAGGTAACAATTCAAGCAAGTGATCAACTGCATTCACAGCTCTAAACACGCCCCAGAGTGGATATCGGGAGAACTTCACTCTGACCTCTCCTAAGTAGCGCTTAAAATATGATAAAAATCATACGCAAAAACATCACATGATGCTGCACAGAAATACGCCCACTGCCTTGTCAAATTCTGAAAGGTCGAGAAAGACGCTGAAGTCTGTCAAAACAAAAGGGAAAAAAACCTGGGTATCTCCCTGATTGTGCACTTTCGTACTGGAGTCTCATTCTGGGAAGGTAGAGTCAATAAGTTCTTAACCTGCACGTCCAATATCCAAACATTACAATAAATCGAATTAATATATCAGCTACAAGGAATGAATATACTAATAACTTGATTGTAATGCAATTTACTTACAAGAAGAAGTCCTATAATGTTTTCTTTTTCGCCAGCATATATGGGCACTCTACTGTGCCCTCTAGCTATGATCATCCTCATTGTTTTCCTGCGTCATCAAGTAGAGGATTTGTGAAAAATGAATACTAACACAACACACTATGGCAAGTGCCTGTAAAACATACTCTCAATCGTCGGCACTTGCTCTCCTTGAAATAAAAATAAATCAAACATTCATAATCTAGATTAAAATTTACTTCGCGAAAAAGTGTGCAATGAGAAGTTGATAAAGTACACGAATGGTGAAACCCTCTTAGAAAGTCCAGAGGTTGGGGACGTCTGGCGGGGTATGTCAAGTAGCCTTGCAAGGACTGACGAGAACTCACATGTCAAGTTTATCATTAACACTCAATGCAAAAATATCCTCAATCGGGGTCATCGCTTGAGAGGCAGTCTTCTTTGTCAACTCGAGAGCACCACCAATAATCGTTGTTTCGTAGCGAGTTAATTCTCCTCCTTTTCCAGCCTACATACCCGGCAGAGCAATTGGACTCAATCATACAGCACTTCAGGTTCCACATGAAAATTGAAACCTCACATGCCCACAAACATTAGCATGGGTCCAAGTGACCATAGAAAGCATCCTCAACTTTGTAGTGAGGTGAATAAATTTCAATTTATAACTTTACATCCTGATAGATAAAAATCAAATTATTCCCCTCTCGTACGGATAAAAATCATTGTTTTCCCACACTTGCGTATCACAGATTTCCCAGTGCCGACAGCATGAAAAATCGCTGGAATATACAGTTTGTGTATATAAGTACGCTAATTGCAATATTCAGATGATTCCCCCTTGAAAAGTAAATCAATAAATAAAAGAGAAGTATCCATATTCCTCAAAGCTTTGCTGACTCAGTAATCCTGAAAATCCATATTACCTCATCACCATGAAAATCTACTAGGGTCTTCAATTCAGCGCGCCGAAAGAGCGTTTTGTGCCCTTTTCCAAGAATACTATCAAGAAGCTGCACAGCGAACAGCAATTATTCTCATGCTACTGCAATGTAAATTCATCTTTCAGATCTCATGGTTTTCAAGCCTCAGGATCTCCTTCGAAATTCCAACGCGCTGTGCACAATTTCAACTGCAACTGTGTACGTCCAGAATGCATTTGACTAAGGCACGACTAGTTTTGACCCAGAATTGCTGAGAGGCACAGGAAATGAAGATGAACCATCCGACAGTACCTTGCTGATTGGATATGAAATTGGGAAGAAGAGCAGAAGGAGTACGCGAACTACAGGTGACAAAGCGGCTCCAACTGCTAACCCATACCGTGAGCAAACCGCTTGAGGTATGATCTGAACTCAGTTACATATCGGCAAGAATCGATAAGCCAGATCCTTACAATTTCGCGTTGAACTCCAAGTGCAAATGTGGCGAGCATACAACATGCATTCTCGACCACGATAAAGAGGGTAAAATATGCTCACCTCGCCGCATAAGAGAATCAAGGTCACGGATATGAGTATAGCACTCCAAGCCTCGACCAACGAATCGAGGAAAATGGGAAGCGCCTGCAGGATCCAACGATTTACAAACTTTCAAGAGAAGGCGAAACTCTAGTTTTTCAAAACCCCGCACACACATGAAATTTTAAATTTGAGTGATTTTGCTGTTGATGTTCCGCACCCTTGCCACTCATATTCTAAGCAACTGAGTGGTGTCACAGTAAAACAACAGGAACCACAGCATCATCCTTTAATCCAATCCAGATCAATGCTTTCAGTGCTCGCTTATCAGACAACTTTCGACAAATTCCTTTTCAACAAATCCTACCTCCATGGCCAGCGCATTTCCAATCAACAAAGTGCAGAGCAGCAAATGTTGATTTTTCACCACTGGGAGAATTTTCCCTGAAAAAATTTCACAGCTGGGATCAGTGTAGGACCGATCATTAGCGCATTCCCTGATCCTATAAATTGTAAAAGTCTCGGCTCGTTTACGATAGCTAAGACTAGATCGATGGAAATCTCTTTCTTCAGGAATCTGATTATTGAACCGGCGTGAGTAAAATGGACTAAGATGTTGAATTTTATGAAGCTTCATACCAGCATATTTCTGATCGGCTGGCGTGCCAGACTTCTGGAGAACCTCAAGGTCAACCAAGTCAAGCGACATCAGTCCCAGGGTAAGACCTGACATCAAACCGGCAAATAAGACCAGTCCAACTACGATCACAATGTAAACGTAAAAGGTCGCCGTTCCGGGCATTTGGTGTGCCATTTTCCTAGTCAAATTATTCGTGATCACGTTTAAAATTTGCTGGATAAATTCCACTCATTCCAGCTTCTCTGTAGACTTTAAAAAGCTCGCAGAATCTAATTAAGCAAAATTTAGGTATCGGCAAATAATGTTGCTCGCAGATACAACCAGTGTAGTACGACTTTCTGATGCTGAGGCAATTCAATGCAACTCGCATCTGATTATCACTTTCTTCCTTAGTAACCCTTTCAAAACAAGATGCTCCAGCAAGAGGGATGCTTCATCAGAAGGCTTGATTTCGAGCAGAGTTACGACTTGCAAACCTCCCATCGCCCTGTCGCGAAGATAAGCCGGCATTGAGCCTTCGCTTTCAGACCTAGCTTGTCCACCTTGATGATGAGGTCAAGTCCACTACAAAAACCAACACATAAAACAGTAACTGCTTCATCGCCTCAGAAGCACTGATAAGCTGAGAGTTTAGAATGAATCTCTAACATTCAATTTCGTCAACAAATAAACCTTGAAAACCTCTAGACCATTCTTCGAGAGGAAAAGAGGGCACGAAAGAGTCATTGCACGGAAAATGACGAGTCTGCACTCAAAATTCACCATTAGATTCGTGCTAGAAAATTTCACACAAATATACCAAGGAAAATACAAATGCCAAAAAGTTCACCACGAATACGGAAGTACCACGGCATGTCTCTCGTTAGAACTTGACGACAAAAAGACATCAACTTGAATCCTGGATGATACGTGTTCCCTTTCGGAGACAAAGATTGAGGAAAGTAGTTGAACAACCAGGAGCAAACCCGATGAGTTCACATACAGTAATATCGACAATATTAATAGCTCCAGGAGCCAGCAGCGAGTACAAATATTAGCCACAGCATACTCCATACTACAACGCACACAACAGAAACGGAAGAATTATGCAATATTCAAACATGCCACACGAAAATCAGCATTTACAACAAAATCCATTACGAGTTCAAAATTAAATTCATAATTCACATCATCAAACAGAAAATCTTTACGTCCCTCCAGCTAGCACCAACCCGACACCACACCTCCACCAGAAGTCTCACACCAGACCTCGAATCGAAACCAATTCTCCGGACCTCGAATTAATCTCATAACTAATAATCGGTCGATCACAGCAACTCGCTAATTCTGCACAACAACAAACCTCCCAATTGCATGAAACGCAAATACCCGCAGGTCTTCGCGACTCATCTTCGTGAAATAGATTCCACAAGCGTGCACACACTCAGAGATGCAGTCGCAACCCCTGACACACACACAACAACAGCACTCACACACAAGAGACACGCTTACTTACTTCCTCACTCACTCACTTACACACACACATGATCTGTACTTAACTTGCAAAGGGAGGTGATTACGGAGCTTCCCGGAGGGTCTCATCAGCGCAGCCGAAGCGAATCCATGAGGCCATGATAATAGGCGTGGGCAGGCAGACGTGGAGCAAGGGACATCCTATGCAGTGCAAGCAGGGACGAACGCAGAGAGCGAGGGACGGAGGGAGGGCCCCGGCGGACAAAACAAGACTACCCTCCTCCCGCCCACCCACTTCGCGCGCGCGCGGGCACGGTCACACTCATTGGTTTACAGAGCGGCAGGAGACGAACCGTGCCCCCCCCCCCCCCCTATCGGATCTTTCATCCTCAATTATTTCATTCGTTCGTTCGTTCATCCATGTGTTGGGTTCATTCGTGTACATGTGTTATTTTTTTTTTTAATTTGATTTAAAAATATCCAACTATGTAATAATAATCACATCATGAATACCTAATTTAAGCTATTTTAAGTTCTCAAAGAGTTATATTAGTTCATTATAATATATATATATATATATATATATATTAATTCTTTTGACTTCAAATATATAAATTTTTACTATCCATATTTTATATGAATGTGGTGTTTAATATTATCATAATAAATTAAAAAATATTATATTTTAATTTGATAGTTTTTGATGTTTTTTCTAAAATTATAAAAAAAATGATAATACTACATATTTAATATGACAACAATTCAAAATTAAAATTATTATTATTTGTATTGATAATTTTATATTCAAGGAGACTTTATATTTAAAAGTCTACTTTAAAAGGCTAAAGTTTTAAAACCTTACCAAGATTTTGATTGATAAATAAAAATCCTTATTTAGAAGCCTTAGCTTTTAAACATAATATGAAGTAAGAAGAAGTCATGATATAGACAAAATTATTCTTTTATTAGAAATTAAAATATGACAATTCATAACTTGATTCAAAGAATCATAAGAAGTATAAAAAATTTAATTTTTTATTTTATTTTGTTGTTGTTATAATAGTTATTTTATACATTTTTTGACACAAAAACTCAATTCTCTTTAAAAACCATCTTTTAAGAATGGTCTAATACAAATTCTTCTAAATAATACTATTTTTTCTTTATAAAAAAGAATGCCTTTTATCTCATCATTTTTCTTAAAGGTCTTTAAATTGGTATTTTTAAGTATAAACTAATTAAGTGAAGTCTTTTAATTTCAATCAATCAAAAAATTTGAAAGTTGTGATTTCTCATTGTTGTCTTTTTAGTATATAGATTCTATCAATTAAATTTAAAAATAGAAACTTTAAACAAATCTCTTATCATTAAAGTGTAAAATTTAAATATTTTAAAGAATATAATAGAATAGAATCAATTAGTTTTACTATATATTTTTTAAAATTTTAATTTAGTTTTAATATCTCTTACAATCAATAGTTTTTTATATATAAATAACTCTTTTTATAATTCATATTTTAAAATCAATCATCAAATATTTTAAGTTGAAATTATATATATATATATATATATAATCCATTGATTTATTAAATCAATCTACTCTATCATAATTGTCATTAGAAAAATGAATCATCTTAAAAAACCATCATTACAATCATGGCTCTCATTTGACCCCCTTTGTTTTAAGCCCCCGCCCCCTCCGGCTCTAGCCTTCCTCATCTAGGACCCCTCTCCTTCTATTCGTAGCTCTCATCTCAACCCTTCTTGTTTCTCCTTATTTCTCTCAATAGGATGGATTGATCTAATAAATGGATGAGTTGATTTAATAAATAGGCAGGTCATTTTAATATTTTCCTATATATATATATATATATATATATATATACATATATAATTTTTGAAGTATGATTTTTTTTAATAAATGCATAGTTAAGACTAAATCATTGTAAAAAATTTAGAAAATTATAAATTAACATAATTATTTTTGAAATCTTATAGAATATATATATATATATATATATATGTATGTACATATGAGTGAACATTAAAATTCCATTTAATAATCTTAATAAAATACATTAAAAATTTATGAAAAATTAAAGTTAGAATTAATGATTTTTTTTGAATAATTCTTCCAGATAATTCCTAAATTCCAAAGATGTCATTTTATAACAAAGAAAAATTATGTTAAATTATATTAAAAAATTACAAAAAATTTTAATTTTATTTTAAGCAATTGATTATCTATCTATTTATTCTTCACAAATCAAGCAACAAATCATTTAGAACTTAGACAATTATTTTTAATTATTTAACAAGATCAAAACTATAAGGATAAATCATTAATTTTTTACATATATTTTTTTATGTGCATTTCATTTTTGAGTATAAAATTAATTAAAATTAAGAAAAAAAACATTTATATTTCGATTCTTTTTCCATTTATAATTTTATTCAAATAAAATTATTGTTTTATATTTTGTAAACTATAATGTTATTCAGAGCTATGATATTATCTGAGTTCTTTTTTTTTATTGATTCTTATTATTGTATTTGATTAAATATTTTTACTAAATTTTACAAATAACAATGCTATTATTTTAATTACACATAAAATTAATTTTTGAAACGTCAAAATTCAATTACTTGATTTTTTTGTTATACCATTGATCTTTTAATTTCATCAGTTTTGTACTCCAACAATTGTTTTCATTTTTTAAAAAATAAAGTGATCTACATAAGTACTTAGTCATTTATATGGACTTTCAGCAAAGCAATATTTTATATTATTTTCATTTATTTATTTATTTATTTTTCTTTCATGCATTTGTTGCTATTCTTTTGGGAAGAGGGAAAAATGAAAAGAAGGATTATGAAATGGACCACAAAGCATGATTGAGACATATCTAAAGGCGAATCAAATCAACTTTAGTCATCAAAAAGTTGATTGAAAATCCAATAGTTATTCATTTTTCTAGGCTTTACTTGATGGGCATAAAGTAATCGTCACAGCCCAGAACCCTTAATTATATTCAATCAGTTTTCATGAACAGAAAATATGTAATAAAAATAAGAAAGAAACAAATTAGAAGAATAAAGAGAATAATGGGAAATGAAAATTTAGTGTCAATATTATTATAGCTTTATACCTCAACTAAAAAATAAAATTTTAGGATTTTAAGAAGATAAAAAACTCACATCCACATTCTGTTTCACATTGTGATTATATTTCTTTTAGCTTTCAACAATATCTAGGCAATCTTTTTGAAACTACAAGATTTTGAAAAGCAAAAGAAAGATCTAATTTTAAAATAAATCTTGTGAAAGAAATCAAGAATAATGATTTTTTGTTTTCTGTTTTTTTTTTTTTTTTTTTTTTTTTTTTTGGGGTTTCTGTTTTTTTCTGTTTTTTTTCTGTTTTTCTGTTTTTTTCTGTTTTTTTTCTGTTTTTCTGTTTTTTTTTTTTTTTTTCTTTTTTTTTCTTTTTTTTTCTTTGCATATGTTTTAGGGTTATTTACTCATTGCACAGATAATTCAATATAACACAAAAGACAGCAGGAGTATGAGAATCTCATCAATTTTTTAAAAAAAACAATATATTATTACAGTATAAACAGGAAAGAAAAAGAAAGATTCAGAAAGAACTTGTTTTGGTTGAGCTCTAAGCCTAAAATATACACAAAATTCTCATCGCACACATGTGACATTTGATTAAAACATGATGAAGATTGTGAGTTAATTAGTTTGTTGCAAACTTTCCAACACTTGGCTTTAACCAAGATGAAACAATTTGTTTGTTTGTCTTTTATTTTATTTTAAAGTGAATTGAATTGTTTCTATCCATAGAAATTCTTTTTCCAGTAATCATAAGTCTTTACAATATGAAGGCCATGTCTATGAACATGAATAAATATTTGACATGAAATTTTCATATGTTTTTGAGGACTGAGTGTGCATACACAAGATACAATTAATTATTTGATTATTTAAATAAATAAATTGTAGGATTCTTTTAAAAACTGATGTTTTATAATGTTCAATTTTTTTCATCTTTAAATCATGTTTTTTGTATCAATTAATTAAAAAAATCACAAAATATGGTCCTTTAAGGGCACTCTATCCTACATGTGTGATTCACATCATAATTAGTCTAGACCATATTTAACATGTCAAGTAATATCAGTCCAATCTACTATGGAAATAAATAAAAATATATTTTGAACTTGGAAAGTGGCTTGTAAAAAAACTTAAGAGTGGGCTTATACTCCAATTTATTGTTCTAAGGGCTATCTATATATTAAGATTGCTCAAAGAAATAAGTAGTGACTCTCCTTCACTACATGGATGGGCCTTTGTTTTTATCAAAAAGGTTCATGTTTTATGGAGTTCACAACTTGTTTTACAATTCATCCTTATCTTGATTTGTAAGTTCCAAGTATACATGGTATTTTATGGTTGATTACAAGGTAATCACAAGAGATTCACAAAGTTCAAAAGACGTTTTAAAATGGAGCAATAAGAAAGACATACATCTTAGTGAGCTGATACATTATAAAAATATGTAAATACATCCATGGTTACAATCCAATGTTTCGGACTTGATCAGAACAAAACTCCATTATTAGAATCTGCTGTAGTAATATGTTGCAAAGATTGTTTTTAAACTTCTTCCACAATTGCGGTAGCTGCAAGGCCTCTTATAGGACAATGAAGCCATTGGAGATGCCATTGAGCTTGCAAGATACATTCAAAGCATGCATGATGTTGTTTTGATCCATTGCATTGCATGTAGAATTGATATAGATATGATCATAGCTATGACCTATACTACTATTAATAGCTGATTTTAACTATAATCAAGAAACATGAACATGTTTGGTAGATTAAATCTACATGCTAATGATGGAGCTTGACAATAGCAAACTTAATGGTTTGATGGCCATAAAAAATAAAAGCATTAAAGATAGTAGAGTTTAAATCTATATGCTTAGTATGAAAATATTATTATGTTGAGGTGAATCTTTGGTTGCATATCACGAATATATATTTATTATAAATATTAATTATATAATATGAATAAATAAAATTAAATAAAAATAGATAAATTTTATAATATCTTCTAAAAAAGCTTTCTAAAAGTTTTATAAATGCTTCTTTGTCTTTATATGTATTTGTAGTTGATTGATAGATTAAAAACTTGGTCAACAACTTAATCATGTATTACATGTATCAATAGCTTACAAAACAAGCTAATTATGTAGTG